AGTCAAATTCCAAACCTCCGTGCTAATTTAGAGTCCATTTTAATAATCCGGATAAGGGATAAAGAAGATTCTGCAATAGGAAAAATAATCAAATTATTTTAATACACATTAGAAAACCGACATTTTTTAATTATCATAAAACTATTAGATACACAATTTTAAATAATGTTTCCAATTTGATAATTGGGAAATACATAAATACAGGCAACAGATATATCAGTTTCAAAATTTGTGTCCCCCATCGGAGATTTTATTGGTAGCATGGCTCGGCTAAAATAGTTAGAACTGGCTAAAATAGCTACTTATGGAGTTAGTTTGTACCAGGTTGTTGAAGATAGATTTGTCGACTTTTGTCTCCTGTTGAAATTTTTTTTTTACCCGGTCCTTATATATTTTATATAATAACATAATCTTTTAACGTTCTAGCTATATCTCTGCAATTCTTTAAATTAAAAAAACGAATTAAAGAAATATAAAAAAAAGATTATCTCACTTACATCTTCTTGTCTATCTTGCAGTAAATATGGCGTTTTCCCGCCTATACGGAACCTCTAAGTTCTAAGAGCTAAGTTCTAAGATCTAATTTCTCTAATGACATATAAATAACATAAACTATGTTTTTACTTGTAAATACAATTAGTAACATGTAGATACAAACATGTATAGATAAGGGAGATAATTTTGCCGAGCAAATACTCTATGGTAATATGTGATGAGCAGTTATCTCTCTTATTTATATAAACGGTCTCTTGATTTATTTAAAGAATTGCTAAACGTTGTGTATGGAAGCAAGCTGATTACAATTCTAGTTTGTTTTTACATGCATTAAACAAAATTATTTCATTTCATAAAACTTCAAACATTGGATGGGGATGACTATATCAATAAATGCCAAAAGATATTACAGACTTGCACCTGCAAATATATATATAATTATCTTAAATTTTACATGATCAGTGATAGCTTTTTGATTAAGGAAATATTTGCTAATAAATCTCTAAAAAAATACATGTGCAGACAATATTGTACATGAAATGTTGTAAGGTAAAACATAGTCGGATGAGAAATAGACTTTAATAGCATTTCATCGACACTCACACGCCTCATTGCGGTTCGCAGAATGATTTATAAAAATATATTTAAATCTAGTTTGCCGTACCAAAACCGGATAAAATCACAAGTCATTTCCGTAATCAAACTTTCCGCCAGACTACCGTTTTTATATACATACAAAAATAAGAAATGATTTGTTTTATTAGTTTTATTAACTATTTTCTACTTGTTTATTTTAAAGTAAATAAAAGACAGCAGAAAAAGACTGTACATGAAATAAGAGATACTAAATGATAAAATTTCTTATCACCAGTTGACATAAATTCACCAGTTTTGTATTCATTGTGCATAAACTAAATATTATGTTATGTTTTCGTGGTAGTTGTGCATCAGAAATTATACGTACTCTTAACGGACAAGTATATTATAACTAAGATATAAATAATGAAGAAGCGGAGGATTTTTAAAACTTTAAATAAAAAAGCTTAGAATTTCATAACTGGCTTTATTAAGTTGTTGAAACCATTTTCAATTATAAATTATATATCTAGTATCATAATTTTTGGTAAAAAAAATTATTGTGCTGTAAATATTAAGTATTATCTACGAACATGATTGACAGGCAGTCCTGGTGGCCACGGTTTATGTCTTTCAGTTCCAGCAGTGTAACGGTTAGGAACGGAGGAACCGAAGTTACAATGGTAGGATACTACGTCATCGCGCACCTGCAAAAAATCTCCGAATCGGACAATATAATAACTGCCCCATGAATTGAAAAGTCATTTTAAAGCATTATTTTGCGTTAAGTTTCATGTAACCCACACTTGATTTTATGTTAATCAGTCATATTGTTACTTTTGAGCCGTGGCTTCTAATAAAAAATTGATTGTTGTTGTTGTATTTTTGTCGACTCGAAGATATATTTTTTTAATTCTAAGAAATAGTTAGAAAATCAAAAATATAATATAGCGCACGAAAGATTGGTTTTAGTACTACTGCAGTAGATATAATTAAAACAAAAAAAACTTAAAAGGTTTCCTGATTTAAGTCTAAACATGGGGAGTCCAATTGGGAGCATCTTGCACGTGCACGATGACGTAACTTATCCTACCATTTAATTAAGTAACTTTATTCATATAAATTAGTTGGAAGAACATGATCAGCAAGGAAGTAGTTTAAGAAATAAAACAAGGTTTTGGACACACGCAATTTTGCTTTAGTATTTATCTACAATCATTTAGAAAAGCTGGAGGCGCTTTAAAACTAAACCAACAGATACCCTTCACGTATTTTGATAGATCCCTTGTTTGACCTTTAATTTTAATTTGAATAACAATAGATTTAACAACAAGCATTGACATATCAACAATATAATGTATATGTTGTTTTGAAATTCTTATTGTTATCCACTAATCTGATAAATATGCATACAACAATATTATCACATACATATATGCTTCCCTACATCACATGCATATATGCTTCCCTACATCACATGCATATATGCTTCCCTACATCACATGCATATATGCTTCCCTACATCACATGCATATATGCTTCCCTACATCACATGCATATATGCTTCCCTACATCACATGCATATATGCTTCCCTACAGGGAGTAGAACTGACAATCCTAACCTTTCATATATGTAATGCATTTAATGTAATTGTACGTGATTATCACATATTCTATTACAATTAACGAAGGTTTGTCATGATGCTATTATTTGAATGAAATGTATCTGCATATCCATTGATCTAAAATTAAGGGTCAAAAGTTCAAATTGTTGTTGCTTTACGTCTACTTTGCTTAATAACTTTGCTAAATAACATTTTTAATTGCCTTACATTTTAATGTACATTTGCCAATAGTATCAATTATTCCAACGCAAAATCTAGAAGATGAAATAAGTTTTAATGATTTTTTTCATTTAAAGGTATGGGGACATTTTGTCAATGGTAGGTGAAGAATCATTATTTTATTATTGAGTAAAGCTAGATTAATTTAAAATTTAAAGATTTTGAAAATTCACGTTCTATACTCTTCGACATTTCTATCACAAAAATACAACTACCACGCCACTCAGACTCTTATAAAGGTGTTAAAAAATTCTTATGGATTTTGAACCAAGCAATGGACCTGTTATAAGTATATGTTAGTATTCATCCGAGCTGTTCTACAGAAATAAGAAACTTCGACGGAAGCGATAGCGACAGGAGAATGTTTAATTTATGTAGAGCAGCTAAGGATAAATACTAACATACTTAGTGTCAAACTTTATTTGGCTTCATTATTAATTACTGTTTTACGTCACTATGCGGTTTTATGAAGTACTATGAAAAACAGAAGTCGACTATGAACGGATTTCGATTTAGTGTCCAGCTTTATTTGCCATCCAATGAAAACGCTGTATTTCTTCAAAATTCTGTGCGTTAATTTTCATAGAAGAACAAAAACCGATACTATATCGAATTCCGTTCACAGTCGACTTCTATTTTTCATAGTACTTCATAAAACCGCATAGTGACGTAATAAAGTAAATAATAATGAGGCCAAATAAAGCTTGAAACTAAGTATGTTAGTATTCATCCTAAGCTGTTCTACAGAAATTAGAAACATTCTCCTGTCGCTATCGCTCCCGTTAAAGTTTCTAATTTCTGTACAACAGCTCGGATGAACACTAACATATACATAGTATCGGTTTTTGTTTTTCTATGAAAATTAACGCACAGAATTTTGAAGAAATACAGCGTTTTCATTGGATGACAAATAAAGCTGGACACTAAAATCCGTTTTTGCGTGAATGAAGAGGTAACTCTTTAGCGATTTAACTTTAAAGTGTTTTAAACACTTTTCAATTGCGAAATGATGGGTTTATTATTGAGTAAAGCTAGATTAATTTAAAATTTAAAGATTTTGAAAATTCACGTTCTATACTCTTCGACATTTCTATCACAAAAAATACCACTACCACGCCACTCAGACTCTTATAAAGGTGTTAAAAAATTCTACAGAAATAAGTTTGCCTTTCCTTGTCGATCTTGTTTATCATATTTTATGAAATATCAAATTGAATGTGTTTCGTTTACCTGTCCAAGTTAGCAAATTGTAAATTCTTTTGTACAGTTAAACAAAATAAGTAAAAAAGTGCATGATTTGTGATGTTTTATTAATATCAACTTAGTTACGAGATATTAATCATTATGTACAAAAATTTGTTTATCTACGGGTTCCCTAAAGGGAAATTTTTTATAAAAGATCAAAAAATTTTATTTGTCATTAAAGCTATCCCGCAGTTTTTATCTGTCCCAATCGTATAAGCTCTACAATCTTTTCTTTCCATCCAGTTTTTTTTCCCCACCAGAGGCTTTTTATTAAAAATGCAAAGAATTCCATTTATCGGGGGTAACCCCAATGCCTTCCAAAAAAATCTTTAATTATGGACCAAACACTTTAATAAAGGTTTTTATATAAATTTGCTGTTTAACAATCTATACGTTAAAAGCACTAATCCATCACGTTTTTCCCCGGGTCAAAAGACGCAAAACAAACTATAAAACGGGTTTTAGTGACATTTTTCCCATTAAGGGATTCAGCAAATGGAAAGACTTCACTTTTAGTTTTGCTTTTTCCAAAACTTGCCATTGAACGTTAAAAGTAGTCCTAGGGGCCACCACCACGAATCTTTGTTGCATAAATATCTATTTCATGATTATAACGTTAATGTAAGACCAGTATTGAATCATTCGGATCAAGTTGATGTTATAATCCGTCTATCACTTAGAAAAATACAGGATTTAGATGAGAAACATCAGTCTATAAAATGTACAATCAATTTGGACTTGTATTGGAAAGACGAATTTTTAACCTGGAATTCGTCAGAATATGGTGGAATAAAAACGCTAGTGTTTCCTTACAGTAAAAACATCTGGGTTCCGGACATCATGGTATATAATGCATTGGATAACTCTGAAGATTATGGAATGGAAGGTTCTACCATACAACTTTATCAAAACGGGCAGGTGTATGCTTGGACACAAGTTCGTCTAAATACTGAATGTGAAATTAAATCTAAAAAATATCCATTCGACGAACAGATTTGTACCATTATTTTGTCGAAATTTATGAATACAGATGAAAGAGTCATGTTGAAGTCACAAATAAATGAAGTCCTGTTGCTGTATTACGAACATACCGCTGAATGGGAAGTGATAGATAACTATGTAACATTTGACACGTACCATTTTAACGTGACTGTAGACGTTTTGACGTACACGTTTATAAATTACAAATTCAAAATTAAAAGGGCATGCCGTCTGTGCCTTATAAACGTTATCATACCAGTTTTAATATTAGCATCGCTTAACTTGATATCGTTCTTTATACCTTGTGAAAGTGGGGAGAAAACCAGCTTTCCTATTTCCATATTTTTAACGATGGCGGTATTTCTGACGATAATTTCACGGGAAATGCCGGAATCTATCGACGGCGTTTCATACCTCAGTTCATACGTCACTGTTTTACTTGGTATTGGAGCAGTTACTACCCTGTGCTCGGCGCTTTCGTTACGTTTTCATTTCAGAGCCAGTCCCAAATCAGTTTCCAAATTCTGGCGTTTTTTGGTGAAATTTCTTGTTACTGTATCAGATGATAAGGATGAAAACAAGAATGTAGAAAATGATGACATTAAAATGCAAAGGAAGCGTAGTCTTTCCCTTATCTCAAACAATGATTTAGAAATGAAGAATATGAGATGTTCTGCCAGTCCAGACGTGACATGGAAACAAGTATCCCTTGCATTTGACAGACTTGCCTTCTTTGTTATGTTAATTTTGGAAGTTATTTCAACTGTTGTATTCTTAGATCTAATGTTCCGATAGATTCGCTTTATAGATACATGTATAAAAGTATGTATTTTATGAATTCATTGTTAATATAATGGCATTAAAATAAATGATATATCAGTTATCAGTGTAATTTTCCTTTTAAATTTCGTAAATTCTTTATAGTAATGAAAATATCCGGTTATTGGACAAGCTATTTGGTTGTTTCGCCTGTTGTGACAAGTAACCAAACGTAATGTGCATTAAGTAAGTAAGGAATATACCATTATTTTACATGAAGAGGGAGTTTTGTGACATTTTCAATTTTTGCCATTTTTTCGGCGTTCTTCAATGCTTTCAGTTTTGTCCACTTTGTAAGACGCATGGTACTTGCACATTTAAAACTGAAATCTAATTGTTTTAATGTTCGGTAGGATTGAAAAGAAAGATGAACAACTAACGTCATTTAATTTATTTATTCTTCATACCCGTATCGTACCAATAGATAGTTTAATGAAATGATATTGCGAAGATATTCTGTTCAATCTCAATCTATAATACATGAAGCAGACTGAAAATAGTCATCAACCTTTATTATTACATTGAAGTAAAGTAATAAAATTTTCAAGCATTCAAAAAAATTAGAACGGACAATTCATTTAAATAGTGTTTGGATCAAGTAAAAATACTCTTTGTCAAATATACTTAGTAATCATATACATATTGCACAACGGCTTTTTCTAAAGGTTCTACACACTGGCAATGCTTTCTTCATCTTCGCAAAGACGTTCTCCCTTTTAAGATAGATTTCCCAGGACCTGTTGTTTTCTTTGTCGAATATTTCTTTTCTGCCTTATCAAGTGTTACCGTGGCTGTGAAGACACCGTCAAACACCTCGTCATCAACATCATCATCTATTCCTCTTGCAAAGTTATCTTTCATCTCTTTCAGTATGGTTTTAAATATGTCAGATCTTTCCGGAACATCTGAGTAATTTAGTGTATCGTTGTCAAACACGTTCTCTCCATTAGTACTCCTGAATCGTACAGATCTTTCTTTCAAGCTCTTGTCCTGAAGTACAAAATCAAGCAGATATACGGTACTAATTTTTAAGATTTTCCAAAAATATTGTTGGGGAATGTCTTCTATAGAACCGCTCGTGGTAAACGAAGAAAATTACAAAAATGGCTGTTTCGCTGATATAGGATTACAATTTTATAATTCCATATTTGATAAACGGTAATAATATTTTAATTACCTATATGGACAGGCGTTACAAAATGAGAAAAAAATCTTAACTCGCATTCTTTAAAAAAATTGTTTTCAATATATCGACTAATCTTGTACTCTTCTACAGTATAAGTTGCTTTATTTTTGTCATCTTAAATAATTTCAATCAACCATTAAAATTTTTATCATTAGTGCTAACAGATTCAAACGTTTCACCCCAACCTAGTGAATATTACAAGCAATAAATGATAAATGATAAAATGTGAAAGTAAAAAAAGTTATATTATTATATATACAAATTCTATGTGAATGAGTCGAAAATAGAAATATAAAACTCAAAAGATGAGTTTTCATATTAAAGGGACTCCACTGCGGTTTTTGACATGAAAGGACTTGAAATATTTTTGCGAGATTTTAGTACTTTTTGATGTATGTCCAGACATAACTTGTCTGCAACATTTCAGATCATTCCCACACTCCGTTTTCCCAGATTATTTTTTTATCATGTAAAATGACAAAAAATGACAACAAAAAATGAAACATGTTGCAACACTTTTTACACAAATCTGACTTAAATCGTGCAAAACATTATCATAAATAAATTAATTAATTAATTAATTAAATTTAACTCTTTAGTTAGTATATTTCTTTATTATTTTTGCAGATTTTTCACTTTAACTTGATCAATTGTTCTATCACGGATTTATGCAATTAAGATCCGTGGTTCTATTTTCATTTCTTCATTCTTTTTGGCATTGGTTGAGCTACTTTAAACATTATTAAGTTAGAAAACAATACAAATGTTGTTGATTTGAAAAACAGAACTTAAAATATACATAAGGCATCAGAAACGAATTTTTTTCCTTCTTTATAAAGAGCATTTATGAAGTAGATAACATTTAAATAATGACCATAGAGCATGTTACATGCTAATTGCTTGTAGAAATTAGCAATGAATGTAAAATTAGCAAAAAAATATTTTTTTTTATGTTGAATTCTGCTTAAGCCGATGCAAGGGGGACTGTAACGGTGCCGATTATGAACAGACTCAATCAAATATTTTTAATTTGTTGTTTTGGGCGTTCTTTGGAAATTCTGTTAAACAATATTTATGGAGACCTTGAAATTTCAAAACAGTGTATTTTCTTTTCTTTCTCCGTCTTTCAGTCTGAAAACTGAAATATTTTCACAAGTGCGTGTATAACGGGCGAATGAACCCTCATTAAGCATAGAATGCATTTCTTTGATCTTTTCGCTTTGGTTGTATATTTTTTGCGAAAAAAAAAACTCATTATTTTTTTATTTATTCAAATGGGTACGCAAAAAAATACTCAATTTAAATTATTTTAAAACTTTAAACATTTCTTTAAACTATTTAAATGAAGAAATTTTTGAATTGAGAATGTGCCCCTGACAAACAAAAAGCAAAGATTTAAAAGGGAAAATACACTACGGAAAGATCTAATTTTGAAAAAAAATCGGGCCCGAAGGTTTTACCGCTATTTTTAAAACCGGGTTTGGAAATTATACGTAAGAATTTACCACGAAGGGCCCTCGCCTATGGTTTAATTTTGCCATCAAAAAACAAAACCGGTTAAATAGCCATTCACCCCCAGCCATGTTATTTTTTTTAACAAATAAAAAAGAAAAACACTAATTTATTTTTTAACGAAAAACTTTCCGTGCCATTTTCGTAAAACGTGTTCTTTTCCACCCTTAGTTCAAGATTCAAAATTCAATAATTTGCCTTTGATGGTCAAGGACATTTAAGTATCAAGGTCAGTTCAACCTTTCAGAAGTTCTTGACCAAAATGTTGTTCTGTCAAAGAATGAACCTATCAACTTATAAATTACCAACTTACAGTCAATTAAAGCAAAAATATGTCAAAATTCAATAATTTAACCTGGAAGGTCAAAATAATTTGAGTCTGATATAATAAAAGTTTCATCCTAAGGAACGTTGTATTATAATATGAAGTCAATCCATTCATTAATAACAAAGTTGTAGCCAATGTCAGTCAAATATTTTTTTCATAATTGGGCCTTCAAGATCAAGGTCATTTATGAGTGAAAGTCTGTCTAATTAAACCTCAAGGCCTACCCTAAAAGATAATTATATTCAAGTTTGAAGACAATCCATTCAAAAACACCAAAGGTAAAGTAATTAATAGCAAAAGTCATAATAAAACAAGCATTTATGATAGTCTGGTCTACTTGAAGGTCTGGTCCCAAAGGTTGTTGTGGTCAAATATGAAGACAATACACAACAAATTCAAAAAGTTATGATCAAGGTTACCGTTAAATAAAGATGTTGAACAGGCAGTAATGTAATAAGAAAGCTATGCAACAAGTTATTATCGTACTAATAAATGTACTCACAATTGTCAATTAGCATGAAAAGAGGTATTTGTAACACAGTCTGTCCAAATTTCCGTCAGTGCTACATTAGTAACAGATGTTTGCTGTGTCAATAAAGTGTATGTAAAGGAAGCAAATATATATTCTCAAACAGTTTGAAATAATGGAGTCACACTATATCAGTTATCAGACTCAGGGCCTTCCCCAGAAATTTCTGTAAGCGCAACTTGGAGGGGTGGGTGTCGAAATTTTTTGAAACCTTACAATGAAATGGTGTATTTTGGTGCATATTTAATGAGAGTTTAGACAAACAAAAGGTGTTCAGTATTTACATATTTTATTGTCTTTTCAAATAAGCCTTTGTAGAAATCAAAAGTATCAATAAGCATTCACAAGAAGTTCCCATAAATGTTTTGGTATATATATATATCAACAATTAGTAGTATTCTTAAAGACAATAAGAATTATTCATACTGGATCAATATAAATGAAACTTCTAAAGAAATTCTTGTGAAATTTGAAATAATGTTATGTCCTTTTAGTTTTAAGGTTTGTTTTTGCTTAACATCATAATTTCTATGCAGTTTTAGTCCTAACATTTAAAAACAAATTTCTATCTGATGGACAAGTCATAAAACTATTTCACAAAATATACCACTTTTTCCATTCAATAACTTTTATCAAATCGTTTGAACAATTGAAATAGTTATCTGTAACATTTATTATTAAAGATGCATGCCTCCTGATACGCCAAAGAAAATTTAAAACAAGATTGCATTAATTTTGAGAAAAATGCTATGCCACCGCATTAATTTGTCAATTTAGAGAAGAAGATTTTTGAAAGTTTTTACTATAGACATATAAAGAAAACCTATGGCCCCCGGGGCGGGGCTAATTTTGACACTAGAGGCAAAATTTGAACAACTTTGGTAGAGTACCTGTAGATGATATCATTTCACAAATATTAAAGCTCTAAGCCTTGTACCTTCACACAATAAGATTTTTTGATTTTTTACTTAGCGATCCCCTGATTTCAACGACTCCCTGTCTTGTCCGACCTTGTTTCAGTCCTCCCAACGTATTTTCCTTTATAAATGGTCTGAATTATACGACTCCCTGTCATATGTGACAAGCGACCCTAATTGTCTGCCAAACGCTTTGCTTTTTTAAATTTAAACACTTTTCAAAATTTTAATTTTGTCCTTAAAATAGATGAATAATACCTTTTTAAACCCCGGAACAAAAAAATTAATCAATTATATAACATGTCAGAACTCTTCAAACGAATTTAACACCTTTTTAAAACGATTACTTATACAGGGATCAAGTGGACGTAGCGTTGGGTATATCCCAAAAAATAGTAAGCTAAGGCAAACATATTTTAACAAATTTTAGTCAAGGTAATGAACATAATGAATGATAAACTGGATTAAGATGGTTAAAATTTTGGAGTGCCAACGGGGGAATTT